AGGAGTGTGTGTGTTTTGGGGGAAAGAAGTTTATTCTCTGTTGTATACTTTGTACATGTGCTCAAGTCTTTCTTATACTTTATAAACTGTATCTTATTCTGCACAATCTATGCATTTTGCAGTATCCATACTACTGCTCTTTGATACTGAAATGCAAAAGAAAAGAGTATTACTTAACCCTGATACATCATTTTGACTTTGATTCACTTTACAAATCAGAGCTTTTCAGATTTTAATCCTGATTTAATAAAATACTCCACTTTCCCAATCTCTTTTGCTATGGAAATCCTGAAGATGTATAAGCCTTACTTCTATTAGTCACATCACTCCACTTAAACGGACACATCTCAGACCTTGCTTGGTATCTTTCCACACCATGACTTTCACAGTGTAGAAAGAATACCTACTCTCTCAATGGTCTATAAAGCAAGGGATTAAGACTCTGACATGGTTGCACACTGACACTAAGCCACTTTACCAGATCAAAGGGCACTCCATTTGATATGTAATATTTATACACTGGCTGAGAGTTTAATAATGTCATCAAATGCTTTTTGGACAATATCAAAATACTTTACTCTGTTCAGAACCTTGTGTTGCATTCTCCATTTCCTTTTGTATCCCTCTTGGCATTACACTGAGTAGCCCTGTCTTGCAAAGTCAATTACTCCTTAGCAAGCTCAGAAATAAAAACCCAAAGTAAGCAACACCACATGTCTGATTTACCAACAGACTGCAATCTAGTGCTAAAGAGCACAGCTATTGGCCCCCACTTTAAATATTCATGAAGCCCACTGGTGCAAAGTGCATTAAAAGTGGGAACAGTGCCAGTAATACACGATCCTCTTAGTGACAAGATTTCACAGATTAAAAGAAGCAAGACGTTAAAGACTTCAAGCTGAATAGTCTTTGTTCTTAGCACAGGAAAGATGTTCACTAATGGAATGCCAGATCTCACGCACACTTACAGTTGTAGAATTTAAAATGGGCTAATAATGTATGTGCACTCTCCCCTGCTTCAGGGAACTATTTGGTTATTACAAAAGCTTCTTTTCTCCACATTTTCTAGAAAATGGACACACATATTCTACCAGTTTAAATAATCTGTTACAGGGCAATATGCCTCCTAGCAGAATCCCAGTAGTTTGGCCCTTAATATATCAAATGTCACTAAATCAAACAATTACAGTGACAACACATAGCCCTGCTCAGAGCAGTGGTATCTGGCAATACATGACAAAAAAGAGTTAAAACAGAAACAAGAATCTTAAAAAAGCAGACTGTAGCAATGTAGAATAATGTTAATTGTCCCTTTATATCATTAGCACCCCAGCCACATCTGCTATCACACCTGTGCTCTCTTCTCTGATCTACTCTGCATCCTAGAAGTGTTAGGCAAGCGGCCAGCTTCCTAGCCACATCTCTCTATGATCACCAGTTTTTATCACCAGTCTGACAACCCCAGGGCTTTGGAACAGTCTCTGATTGATAGGACAAATTTAAAGTTCTAGGCTAATTATTTCATAACAACAGTTCCCAATGCTACTAATAACTGTTGTCCTAATTTGGACTCTACAAAGCGAATCAGTGAAGTAAGATAATTTTTAAAAGTTTGTATCTGAAACTAGATAAACAAAAAAAAAAAAAATCAAATAATTAGCCAATGTGTGTCATTCATCCAATCTGAAGCATCTGTTTTTTATACACTAGAGGTGCGTTTGTGTATATGAAGGGAACATGATTGACTTTGGTGCCTGTCAAATTCTGAAATTCAGTTCCAGTGTATTTGAAAGAGATCAAGGCTTTCAATACATAGCCAGCTTCCATTTCAAAAATATAACAAAATAGGCTTACACCCAGAAAACATATTTCTTAGCAAGATGTTCATCCAAAACAAATCAAGGGGCAGGAAAGGGAAAATGGAGCTCTGCTATAGCATGAGAATGAATAACTTCAAAATGACTCTTTAACAAACTTAGTATGATCTTTTTACTTCTGCTTTGAAATCTGGTTTATGCATCTGAACAAGTTTACTAGTAACTTACCTGGGTGGTCGACAAATACCTTTGATGTTGCCACCCATGCGTCCAGACTATCGCGCTGAGCCAACAAACAGCTGATCAGCTGTTTGTCGGCTCGGCGCGGCAGCCATGTAAATTTAAATGAAGCCGCGATTATTTAAATCGCCGCTTCATTTTACTATGTCGGGTAGCCTAATCTACATGCCTCTGGCGACAGAGGCATGTAGTCTAGACGTACCCTAAGTGTCCTGCCTGTCAATAAAGGCAATGCATATCAGTTTCTACATTTGTTATGCTGCTCTTCATATTAATGGTTCAATGGAAGGGAATTAGACAACGGAAAAGTTTTCAGTTGTATTGGTGTGACACTCCCTGCTGCAGGCCTTGTCACACCCCTCCCTATGGAGAAAAGTAGAAGAGAGGTCCTCCAAGTAGGATAGAGTGGCTGCCTCTGCTGTTGCCAATCAAGGCCCAGCAGGCTGGTATAGAAGAAGCTGCGAGGACAGGCCTTGGCGGTTTCTTGCTGGAGCTCAACCCAGCCAGATGTAGGCTCTGACTGGGAGGACAGCAGCACCTTGGACAGCTCCGAGTGTGAGCTGAACTTCAGACCTGCTTAAGACCCAGGTCCAGAGGCTGAAAACTAATCACAACTAGCTAAAGAGCTTTGCAGAACCCGGGACAGCCTGCCTCAAAGTCCTGAGAAAGAGAACTGGATGGAGATTTGCAGATGCGCCCTCGGCCACAAAGGGGCGCTCCCAGGAGAGTGACCCCTTTATAACTGGGTTTATGATGGGGGTTCATTAGAATTGGCTATTTTATTTATTATATTCCCTCAAAAACAAACAAAAAAAGTAGTAGCATTACATAGCAAATATCATGGTTAATAACATTATCCTGTAGTTGGTTATACGTCTATTGTTCCCTTCTCGTCTACTCTAACTTGAAAGCCTATCAAAATATGAAGCTTCTCAAAATATGATCCAATGGACTGTGAATTCTGATATATTAATTTTAATAAGGCTTTATTTTGACATAGGCATTACCAAAGCATTTCTGAATAACTGGATGAAGATCTTACTGGAAAACAGAAGATCTGTGTAATACTTTTAGACAAAGTCAAAATTAAGCCAATTTTTAACTCAGTTTCATTCCATTATTAGAGACATATCATCATGAAGAATCTTGCTTCTATTTTTCACTGGCACAATTTCTCTTGGTAACTGGATTCAGAGCCAGTCCCCCCCCCCCTTTTAAGCATAAAATTATAGACCTTGGCAAGACCACATCAAAATGAGCACAAATTGATCACATGCTTTCGCCTAGCTCCCTACATCCATAGCCTTCATTACTGAAGAGGAACAATTTTCATAATTTCATGCCTGAGTAGTAGTGCATGATAGAACACTGTGTTTGGATGGGATCAGCTGACTAACACCCTGTCTAATAACCTGCTCTGGTATTACTCCCTCTTTATTCTTTTCTTGATCTGTTCCTTTCTGTCTGTTTTACACTCTCAGTTTACAGTCTTCCATCTGTATCACGTTTGCCCTTTCCAAATAAGTGCCCTCCATCCAACAGAGTGTGTGTTTCAATGCCACTATCGACGTGTATAATTAATGAACTTTGAGTGGATGACAAGAAAATGGGTGTACTTTACTTTTTAAATATTATCCTACACAGAGGGTCTCCAAGCTATGGCACTTTTAAATAACAGGACATTCATTAAAGAAGAAATGTGTAAATTACTGTACCAAACATCCTCTGCATCTTCATCACACTCTGCCCCAAACTGACAAATGTCACAAGTGGACGTCTCTTTTTGATTGGTTTCTCCTGAGCCTTCATTGACTGTTTGATACAAAGCAGAAAAAGGCCCATTAGTAAACACAAAACAATAGCAAAGTGAGTCTCGTCTACAGAAAAGCTAAATTTATATATTAATCTTTGGTAATTGAACATAGAGGTCAAGGTGGTGGGCTTGGCTGACAGACAGTATTTCAAACAACAGACTACCACAAACATTTTCCTCTTACCTAGGATAAACACCATACACCAGATGTACATGTGCTTGCTAAGAGAAGAGCAGAGAAACTGCGGGAATCAATTTCTGCACTTTCTCATTTAAACAATATTTTTTTTTCTCAAAATCATAATAAGGAAGGAGGCAGCAACATTGAGCAAACAACTCATATTAAGCACCACTACTTAATTCCTGTAAAAACATTTGGCATTGACTGGTAATACAGCACGGTGGACAACTTGTGTGTAGAGTACTATAAATCTGTGTATATCCACTTTATATCTGTGGGTACCTGCATCCACAGATGTGGATTTCTTCAGTTCATTTTTGCAGATGTGGATGCGGATACCAATTTTGTATCTAGAACCCCGCAAGTTGGTGGATATCCACTTGTGTGCTTTGCAGTCCGTGTAGGTAAAGATCTGGTGAGGAACCCAGGAGTATGCTTCCCCAAGAAATGCTTGGGAAATATCTGCCTTATGGTGCTATTCCAAAGGCAAAAGATTTGCTTCTTCAGATGTGTTTTGAACCCTGAGGAAAAGTCCTCTCTGCCCCACTGATTTAGCACTGAAGAGATTTGGGGGGGGGGGGGGGGGGGAGACTGTCACCAGGTGTAGAGAAATAAACCCACTCATTCTTTCATTTTGCTGGCAGAATTTGATCCTGGGTCCCCTTCAGCACAGGGATAGAAGATAAAATTTCTCAAAATGCCTAGGTGATATAAACATCTAAGTTCCATTGAAATTCAAATAAAAAATGTTACAGGAGGATTTGGATTCAGCTTGTAATGTCCCATAAATTACATGTAGAAACTGAGAGGAGAATATGAATGGCTAAGTTAAGAAGGGTACAAGTTGACTAATGAATAGTTTTAGAGAGCATTGTTTTGAAATGATCCAACAGAATGTTATATATGTTTTTATAAAACTATAAAGTACTGAGAATAGTAGGTAGGTGGATATATCTTTATGTATTATGTCTTTCTAGTAAGACACAATACATAAAGATACATTTCTCATGGTTATGGAATAATTAGCTCACACCAGATTTAAAGTAGCAACTTTGATTGTTATTATTTTGCATAGAAATTCTTTGCTACTTATATTTAATGTCTTTCTTTTACTATTTTTTTCATTCAAATTTACAAGTGTAGTGCAGAATTATTTCAGAATAGAGATGTAGCTCCAATCCAGAGAATCACAGAAGCACCTAGATAGCCTTAAGCATTTAAGGAGATATGGGAGTAATCACTGGAGCTGGTCAGGAATATTCCAGCAAAGCTTCCACCTTTCTGTCCGCCTGCTGCCGTCAACAATACTAATTTATCAAAACCAAAATTTTTCATGGGAATGTTGGTTTCAACAAATGTCTCGACTGAAAAAAACATTTGAAAAGTAAAGATTCTAAATTGTCAAAATATCCTGTTTGTAAAGATACCAGTGTTCTGGTTCAAAATGACTTTTTATTTCAAAATTTAAGTTAATTATAGTACAATTTAAAAGAAATGCTCAGTCGAAACAAAATGTTTAGAAATGACTGAAATGACCTGATTTGATTGACCAGCACCAGTTCTTTTCCTCCCTCTGATATTTGATTTATGAAATTTTGAACAATTTTGTCTTTTTTGTCCCATTTCAGGATGATCAGAATCTCAGAAGTTTTCATGGGACAGGAAAACCATTTTTTGCCCATCTCTACTCATCACATTCAACAATAGTTGAAAGCTGCTGGAAGCAATCTATAGTGCTAGAATTACATGTTTTCAGTTTGCATGGGATGGCACAAATTGTTTTATACTTCTTCCTAATGAGGTGCAGCACAAAACAATAAAAGGTCCCAACTTCTTGCAACACAGTCCTTACGAGGTAGGTTTTCTAACTCTCAAAGACTGAAAGAGTGATTAGAGTACTAGACCTAGGTGCCAGCCTAGCATTTTGGAAACTTTCTACTCTGCCACAAACTTCCTTTGGGGCCACACCATTCAAGCCTAAATTTTCAAAAGGGCTAGTGATTTCTGGGTGCCTACCTTCAGACACATTAAAAATCTGATTCTTAGAAAGGGTTTGGAAAAAAATCAAGCTATTTAAAGTGTTTCAAGTTGAGAAACTGAACATAGAGGCACAGAAAATCAGTTGCTACTAATAAAAATTGAGGCCAAATACTTGTCTTTGCTTCAGTGCCCTGTCTTCTAAAAGGGAGTAAGAGTATATTTTTTACCATGCCCTGGTGCTGTGAAAATAAATTCAGTAAAGGTTGTGAAGCCCTCTGATACTATAACGATAGTAAACTCAAAATACCTGAGAGAGAGAGTCTCATACGTTTTTCCTGTAGGCTTAAACAAGCCAAACCAAACATTCATATTTTTTAGATCTGAGCAACTCTAAAGGAATTGCCCGTCAGATATCTACCTGAATCTAAATTATATTAAAAAGGAAATCTTCACCTAAGGTGACCTTTGGGATAATAAAAAGAAGGATAGCATTATTTTGGGTTCTTTTCTTGCTTGTAAAATTGTCAATCAGTTTATATACTTTACATACACAAAACTTCAGTTTTAAGCAAGCAAGAGAACCTTAAAATAACAAACAACAACAGAAAATCAACCAAATATCTCTGCTCCAATAAGTTGTCACAGTTGGACCAAGGGTCCGGCGTAGTGTTTTGATGTTTTCTTTACAAATGGTGGGAAAGTTAGCTGATTTAACTAACTTTGATATTTAATGGGAATCTATTTCTTGGAAAGGCAGTTTTTGACAACCAGTCTTTGCAATGGTCTTGTGGAGAATGCAGTAGGCTGGCACTTAGGAGATCGGGGCTCAGCTCCCAACTCTCTCTGAGCAGTGACAATTTCTCTGCCTCACAGTTTCACCTGCTGCAAAATGGGGATAGCTATATTTTTCAGGTATGTGGTGAGTAGTGATGAATAAAAATTTGTAAAACCCAGGTGGAAGGCACTACATAAGATCCAACTATCATTTGTAAATGTGCCCATTTGTCCCAGTTTTTGAAGGAAAGAATTTACACTTTCAGGAAAATATCATTTGTTTTTCTATTCTGTTGCTCTAAACCCCATTTTCATTGTATTTCACTGTTGTTAAAAACAATAAAAGGTCTGTTCTTATTTTTCCTCCACATATAGCCAGGGACTTTTCAGACTGTCATAAGCGATTTAATAGCTAGACAAATAATTTTTTAAACAAGTTGTGTCACTGAAAGGTTTGATATTTTGAAAATAAGAGCTATTTTAGAGAGGAACATCTGCATATAAGTATAGCATAGCCATTAATTTCTGCCAGAAATGAACAGGTAGTCCTTTTATCAAAGAAGCCATGTATTTGGTGTTCTCGAGTCAATGTACTGATGCCATGACTGAGACACTAAGCACCCAACCATACACATCCCTGTTTAAATGGCAGTGACTTAGCCTTTTTCTCATTTTTCTGCTTTTGGTGTCTTCAGAGAGGACTGTTCTTACTAGAATTAGGCTAACAGTAGACTTTTCAGTTGGCTGGCAATTCATTTTGAGCCCGACTGGAAACAATTAAAAAAATTTTTTTTTGTTTGACCATTAGCAAAATTCTTCATTGAAGCTTTAAGAATGTTTTTATATTTTTTTAAAAAGTAAGGATATTTCAAAATGAAAAAAAATTGAACATTTTCTTTTGAAAATTTCAAAATTAAACATTTGACTTTGGGGATCTTTTTGCAGGGGCATTTTGACAAAGAATTTGATCAAAATTAGTTGAATATGCAAAATATTTTGATGTTACTGAACCTGCATTTTTCCAGTTTTGGCTAAAAATTTTTGTGTGGGCTTATTGTTCATATTTAACATGATTTTTCTCTCACTCATTCTTTCCTGCTGTGCAAATAAGTGCCTTAAAAAAATCAGACATCTTAGAAAGAGTTATTTTCTCTGTATTTCCTTTTGCTATTTAGCTTTGTGACTGGGAGGTGTTCATTTTCTAAGTGACTGCTTTTTTTCTTTGCTGCACTAGCTAGTTCGCACTTGCCTTCCTACCTCAACTAAAGAAGTCTTTACAGAGGAAAATGAATTAGACATTACAAAAAAAAGTTTACCACAGCACTGGAAAAAAGACTGTCTTGTCTCTTAAAAGTGAATTGCTCCTGCTAAAAATAAAAGGGCTTTTCGCTTTGCCATAACACATACAGTTCTTATCTTATTAGCAACTTTACAGGTTTCATATACTTGAACAATTGCAAGGGACCATGGGATATCAGTGTGGCAGGGCACTTGTCTCAGGGGAGATTTAACAGCCAAAGCCAGTCTCTTATTATTAATGCAATGCAGAACAGCTAAGCTGTGAGTTCCTTTTTGCGTTAGCATGATTAGCAACTTCCAGAATGCCGGTTACTATCATAGAAGAAACATGATCACAACGTTCTAACACTATGTGAAAGTCACTTCAGACTCTACCTTGATTTCCTGAGCAATAGGGAGTCTTAGCTAGAGATCCCCCAAACATAATTCAGAGAGTCAATGGCCTGTAATAACCACAACAACCCCTATTTTAAGCATCTGGCCCTCTAATCAGAGGGCCTCGCTGCACTCTGATAAGATAGCTGAGTTATCAACAGGATCTGGATTGCCTGAACATCACACCAGGGAGAAACCAAATTTGGAAAGATTTCACATTGTTTTTGTTGCTAAGGAAACCATTTTGTAAGCATCCACATCTTCAGCATATTTGTCTGACTCTGTGCCTGTCTGGCTTGCAAAATAATGGAAAACTCCAACCCATTAGTAGAAACTTCTACCTTCTTTCCACAGCTCAATTTTATATAAAACTTTCAATTATTTCAGTTT